GAGATCGCAGGGAGTCCACCTGAAAGCTTGCTCCGACTCTGGTGGGAAAAGCCAGTAGAAGAGGCTGAGAACAAGAAGCACCACAGTGGCCCCTGGGCCTGTAGCCTGACATAGAAATCCACCCCCTGGCTTCCCTCTGTGTAAACACACCAGCCCAGCTATGGGCCACTCAGCACCAATTCCCTTCCCCGCCTCTGCTGCCTTGCTTGACCTGTCAGGAACTCTGTGCAAGCCTGGCCGGTGTGGCTCAGTGGTTGAGCACTGACCTATGAACCAGGAGATCACAGTCTGATTCCCAGTCAGGCCACATCTAAAAGACATTACCTCCAGGAGGTAGCCAATCAATGATTCTCTCTCGACCACTGATGTTTCTTTTCTCTCTCCCCCTTTCCCTTCCCCTCTGAAATCATTAAAAAAAAAAAAAAAAAAAAAAAACCACAAAACTCTGTGCAAGTTTCTGGAATTTGCCTCTAAATCCACCTAGCCCAGTGGTCGGCAAACTCATTAGTCAACAGAGCCAAATATCAACAGTACAACGATTGAAATTTCTTTTGAGAGCCAAATTTTTTAAACTGAAACTATATAGGTGGGTACGTTGTTATTAACTTAATTAGGGTACTCCTAAGGCTTAGGAAGAGCCACACTCAAGGGGCCAAAGAGCCGCCTATGGCTCACGAGCCGCAGTTTGCCGACCATGGACCTAGCCCATGGAAGACCTGACTCCTGTTCCCTACAGCTACCCAGTAGCTCTGGTCACTGTCCCTTCTCTACATTAACCATCCCAACTCTCTTCAATGTCTTTTAGATGTTGTCTGACCAACTCAGGATACACTTGAACTTTCACCTCCTTTGCCCCATTCACAATATTCCTATTGATACAACACTGAAGCCACAACAGAACGGACACTGAGCCCTAGCCAGGTTTGGCTCAGTGATTACAGCGCCGGCCTGCGAGTTCGATTCCTGGTCAAGGGCACATACCTCAGTTACAGGCTCAATTCCCAGCCCAGGTCTGGGCGCGTGCAGGAGGCAACCAATCTTATCTGTCTCTCTCACATCAATGTTTCTCTCTCTCCCCCGTCCTTCTACTCTCTCAAAAAAAACAATGGGAAAACAAAACAAATCAACAACAAAAATGGGCGCTGAGTTCGTAGACTATCCCAGCCTCGTAGACCTGTCTGTCTATTCCCATGATAGCAGCTCCACCACATTTCACTTTTCTGTACCTACAAAGGTAAATTTATGAACACAAATGCCTATTTTCACTTAAAAAAAATCTTTATTGTTGGAAGTATTACTGTTTTCACATGTATCCTTGGTAATGTGCAGCTTGCACGCTTCAGACAGAGCTGCTGAGGGTGTGGTGGTCGCTCTCCCCCTTAGATCTGAATCTGGGAGGTGAGGTCCACATCGCCCCCCACTCACACCAATGCCGTGCAGGGCTCCAGGGCTCGGGCAGAGCCCTTGAAGTGCTCTAGGACAGCTTCCAACCCAGCGCCCTGGACATCAGGAGAGCCTGGAAAGAGCTGGCTGAAGTAAGTGTGCCTACGCTATGTCTGTAGGGCCGCTTCATACCACCAACCACACTCCTCTCCCGAAAGGACAGACTGGTGGGCCTTGAATTGTTCTCTGTGAAACCCACACTCTTCCCCGACACGCCTCTATTTTCCCTCCCCCCGAGTCTGTAATAAGAGGACAAGTGAGGACATTTCTGGAAACCACTACAAACCCTTTCTCCAATCTGCTGGGAAAGCCTTTAATCCCCTTGCTCTCCATCTCCACATAGGATTGGTCCCTCAGGGCTGTGCTCAGAGCATTTCCGGAAGCTTCCTAGTCACTAAGATGAAGTAACCCAACTGAGACAGACTTACGTCTTCAAATTTTTTCGTTTTTGCGACTTCACAGATCTGCCCTATCACCCGAATGCGGTTGTTGAGGCCACATTCAACACTCAGTTCCTGGAAAAAGGAAAAGGAAAGGGGGCCGTGCTCAGGCAATAGATCCAACTGCCACGCACAGACCACCCTAAGAACTGTACCGCACCTCCCACTCCGGAGACTTGCAGCAGACCTTTCTGAAATCAGGCATTACTCCATCTCAGTGGAGTGAAAACAGACTTTTTGTGTCCATCACTGCATTTTTTATTGTGATAAATTCACATCATATAAAACTCACCACTTTAAACCATACAATTAAGGCTCTGGTGGGATAGCTCAGTTGGTTAGAGCTTCATCCCAATATGCCAAGGTTGCAGGTTCGATCCCCGGTCAGGACACATACAAGAATTAACCAATAAATGCATAATTAAGTGGAACAACAAATCAATGTTTCTTCCCTGCCCTTTATCAATAAAAAAGTTAAACCATACAATTCATTTTTTAGCATATTTACAACACTTGTAACCACTTCCACTAATTACAGAACATTTTCATTACTTCAAAAGGAAACCTCATGCCCATTAGCAGTCACTCTCCATTCCTTTCTCCACCCAGGCCCTGACAAATGCTCATCTACTTTCTGTCTCCATGGGCTTGACTATTCTTGATATTTCATATACATGGAGTTACACATTATGTGAACCTTTAGGATTGGTTTCTTTCATTTAGCATGTTTTCAAGGTTCATCCATGTTGTAATTAACATGTATGAGCACTTTGTTCCTTTTTTGACATGCAATACTCCTTTGCATGGCTGTATCACATGTTGTTTATACAGTTGGCCCTTGGACAATGCTGGGTTTGAACTGTGGGGTCCACTTACACATGGATTTTTTAAAAACCTGGGTTTAAGGAGGCTTGACTTGTGGTGGTAAACATGCAATATACAGATGATGTATTACAGAAATGTACACCTGAAACCTACATAATCTTATTGACCAATGTCACCCCAATAAATTCAATTTTAAAAAACACACACGCCCTGACCGGTTTTGCTCAGTGGATAGAGCGTCGGCCTGCGGACTCAAGGGTCCCAGGTTCGATTCCGATCAAGGGCATGTACCTTGGTTGCGGGCACATACCCAGTAGGGAGTGTGCAGGAGGCAGCTGATCGATGTTTCTCTCTCATCGATGTTTCTAACTCTCTATCCCTGTCCCTTACTCTCTGTAAAAAATCAATAAAATATATTTAAAACACACACAAAATTTGCATTTAAGTAGAGCTGTGCAGTTCAAATTTGTGTTATTCAAGGGGTAACTCACCAGGTGATGAACATACGTTCTAGTTTCTGAATGGGATACTTTAAAAGTGCAAAAGCTGCCTTGTTGGTGTGGCTCAGTGGTTGAGCATCAACCTATGAACTAGGAGGTCACACGGTTCGTTTCCTGGTCAGGGCACATGCCCAGGTTGCTGGCTCGACCCTCAGTAGGGATGTGCAGGAGGCAGATGATCAATGATTCTCTCTCATCATTGATGTTTCTAGCTCTCTCTCCCTTCCTCTCTCTGAAACCAATAAAAAAAATTTTAAATAAATAAATAAAAGTGCAAAAGCTAAGTCCTGGCTGGGTAGCTCAGATGGTTAGAGCATCATCCAGACATGCCAAGGTTGTGGGTTCAATCCCCAGTCAGGGCACATACAAGAAGCAACCAATGAATGCATAAATAAGTGGAACAACAAGTTTATGTTTCTCGCTCTCCCCTACACACACACTTCCTCTCACTCTAAAATCAGTAAGTGAAAGTTTTTCAAAAATAAAAATAACCAAAGTACAAAGACAACATTTATTTATGGACAAAGTATGGTGTCAGGAATGCAGGGAGATTCAAACAAAGACGAAAAATAAAGACTTCTCACAGGGACTCACAAATTACTAGTTTACACATGGTCATAACGCTAATCACCTGTGGAGACCAGGGCATTCAGATCCCGTATCATAAAACAGGTTTTCTTGAATTGACATGTGAATACTAACTCTTGTGCTGAACCAAGTCCTCTGACTTCCTAAATCTCCCGGAAAAAAGACATGTAAGCCTCCCTGGCACTGGGGACAGCAGCCCCATACAGACGGTCACCAGCAACTCATGTCCCACAGAACCTGTTGACAGACCAAACCCAGCCTTCCTTGCACCTCCCAGGAGGCCAGCGGGGAAGACACAGGCAGCTCACTCACTCGCAGGATGTCCGCTGTGATGACAAACTCCGTCTGTTTGCCCTCTGCAGACCTGGGATTTGGTCTTGAAGTTCCCAGTCCCAACAGAGTCTTGAACTTCTCCTTCAAGCCTGAATCTTTGCTTGTTGGCTTGGCCATGGTGGGTAGGCGCGCAACATGGGACTCTGTGCGCGGAGGCAACAGGCAGAGATCTCAGAAACAATTGCACACACCTGCCCCTGCGGACCTACAGCCACCCGGGAACCCCAGAGCTCTGGCGGCACCTTTCCTCCCACAGCCACACTGTCCGGGCCAGAAATAAACCCGGGGAACGCCAGGCCGCCCGCCCCTTCGTGCATGGGGTGAGGAAGGGGAACTGGGAGTGGAGGGCGGGCACCGCGGGTCCTAGGGAGCCCTGACGTTAGCCATCGCTCTCCCTTCCAAGTAAAGGAGGACCCTCGGAGGGACGCGGTCAGCAGGAACCCCCTTTCACCCGCCAGGACTTAAAACCAAGGAGAGCTTGGAGCTCCAGAGTCAGGCTCAGGGGGGCGCGGCCTAGACCCCGACCCGGGCCATTGCGGGGTTCGCCCCCGCCGCCTCATCACCGAGTAGGCCCGGCGCGGCCGCCTCCCCTCGGGGCCGGGCCACACCGCGGTCTGGGCGGGCATCAGTGGTCGGGGAACCTCGAGGCACTCACCCCGAGCCGCGCCCGCGGCGCGCGCGGCCGGGCGGTCCCAGCGCGGAGAAGGGAGCGCACACCCCTGCCCCGACCTGCCGCCGGAAATGCACACTGCGCAGCGGCCGGCGTCCGAGGCCGCCGCACGACTTGCTGGGAGTCGTAGTTCTAGGCTTCCCTTGGCCAAAAGAATGGGTGCGAGGCAAGTCACATGACAGTGCCGCGGGGGCCGCCGGGATGTGTAGTCCGTAGGAGTTCGACATGAGCACAGCGGGCACGAGGATGGTGACCCGCAGCTGGAGCCGGGGTCCTGGGGTCGGACCGAGGGGGAGTGGGAAGGAGGCCGCGCCGCTCCCAAGGGGAAAGTCGGCTTCAGGTAGCGCCCGGCCAGGAGAAGGCAGGAGGGGAGAGGGAGGGAACTGCAAGGGACTGAGGGCTGGGGTCCCGAGCCGCCCTGGAGGGCTCCGAGCTGCGCGGGCTGGGACCCGGCGGCAGCAAGCAAGTTCCTCGGCCCTGCGCGCTGCTGGGTTCCCACCTAGCGCCCTGTTCCCAGGAGTCAGGGGCTGGGTTCCAGGAGCTCATACTACCCCGACCCTCATCCTGAACAAGGACGTTCTCTGGGGTCTCAGCAGCCGGTCCTGGAATCTCCCACTTGCGCCAAGCTCTCTGTGGGGCAGATTGGCCCTGTTGTCATAGCTGCTTACCTCTGAAAAGCCCAGGACACCCTTAGCCAGAAGTCCTCTCTCCTTGCTAGAGAGTGATGTCTGCAGGATTGGCCAGAAGGGGATTCCCATAGGCACCCAAGGACCCCAGGGGTAGTCCAGAAAAGGAGACCCACCAGAAGCGTAGCGGGAAGAACTGGGGCTAGAAGGGATAGGCAGGTGACAAGTCCAGCCAGATAGGCAGGAGCTTTGATGCCAGGACAGAGTTTAAGTTCATTGTGAGTACAAGGGAAAAACCAATGAGGATTTTTAAACAGGAAGTGACCCAATCCAATTTTGATCTTACAAAGTTCTCTCTGACAGTGTGGAGACTAGATTAAGGGGCATCATGGTAGAGGCTGTTACCAGAGTTCTCATCTGTTAACTTGGACTTGGTCAGGGGGACAGTGGCACAAAGAAGGCTGACCTGTCCCAGATGTGTGCTACAGAAGACAGAGCATACCCCGCTCCCCAGTAGTAGATGATGGATGATGGGTGCTTGTCGAAAGAATGAATGATGAGAGATGAGAGAGCAATTAGGGCAACACCTTATCCTTACCTATGTCCCCCACTGAAGAGACTGAATGACATTTTTTTGCAGAAGGAAGGAAAAGCAACCACCCTGTGAAGCGTCACCGGAAGACACAAAGCCTGAAAGTGGCCTATGAAGCCTCGGATGGTGAGAAAGGAGAGGGGATCAAGGTGCCAAGCTGGGAGCCTCAGGACTGGCAGCAGCATCTGGCAAACATCCGCACCATGAGGAGTGAGAAGGACGCACCTGTGGACCAGCTGGGGGCTGAGCACTGCTATGACCGCAGTGTGCCCCCAAAGGTAGGGAGGGGCCCGATTGCCTAGTGACCCTCTTCGGAACAAGATGCTTGATTTCTTTCAGGCCTGACACCTGGCAGCTCTTAGCTGACACCGCCCTGAGAGGATGCACACCTGGCACCCAGAGCACTCACTGGGCAGCATTACTTGCTTCATTGTGGCCAATCAACAGGTCAGGGGTACCTGTGGCATGAGGCCTCGTGCTCTGCCTTCTGCCAGCACTGTGCTGAATCATCAGGGGCATTCAGTACATTTGCTGACAGAGAAAGAGATTTTTGCACTTCTTTAGCCCAGAGCCTGGTCTTTTGATCAACGTGAATCTAATCCCAGTTCTTCCACTGGGTGGAGTCTGCAGGGCCTCAGTTTGCTTGTCTGCAAAATGGGTAGTAGCATCATTCACATAGCAATAACAATAACAGCCAATGGTTGCTGCACTGACATTGTGCCAGGTACAAGTCTAAGTGTAGTGAAAATTCATTTAAGCTTCCCAGTGATTCTGAGAAGCAGGTGCTATTATTGTCCCCATGTTATAGACGAAAAGCAGGCCCAGACCAGATCCTACCACACACATCCCCCCATTGGCCAAGGTGGGTAGGAAGCTGACGTCCGGTCTGTTCCCACATGGGTAAAGGACTTGGCTAGGGCCTGGCCCACAGTGAGCACCCAGGACCGACCATCTCTCTGGTCCCTGTCACTGTGAGCAGGTGCAGAGGTACCAGGTGCTGCTGTCACTGATGCTCTCCAGCCAGACCAAAGACCAGGTGACAGCGGGTGCCATGCAGCGGCTGCGGGCCCGGGGCCTGACGGTGGATAATATCCTGCAGACAGATGACAGCACACTGGGCGCACTCATCTACCCCGTGGGCTTCTGGAGGGTGAGCCCAGCCTGTGGCAACGAGGGCCAGGGTTGCCACTGGCCTGGAAAAGACATCGGGTCATTGAGGGCGGCTGTGGGGGTGGCAGGAGGCTGGGTTGGACATTTCTGGCCACCGGGGCCTGGATATGAGTTCTCACTGGAGTCCCCCACCCCTCTGAGCTGTCCACAGGGGGCCAGGCAGTGGGGCCTCAAGTCCAGGCCTTGGAACTCCTTGGCCTTTCCTGTTGCAGCCCACCCCTTCCTTCCTCCACCTCCCCACCCAGCTGCCTGGCCCTTCCCTTTCTCACTGAGGCTGCCCATCCACCTTTCCCTTTGTTTACTCCGGGCTTCCCTGGAGTGTGTTACACCCTCCCCTCCAGAGCCCGAGAGGCCACAGCACAGGGTGGCCCGTAGGCAGATCTATTGAAGGTGGCCAGGCGGGTGTGGCTACTTCCCTAGGCACTGGTGTGGGTTGCAGTGTGTCAGATGGGTTTTAAATAGCCCCGTCTGCTCAGGCACAGGATGGGAACCGCCCAGCTGGCCTGTTGGCTGGCAGGGAACCCCAGACTCCAGCCTTCCTTCCTGAAGGTCCAGGTGCTGCTGAACCCAGCTCCTGGCATGACTGGCCCTGCTTAGCCTGCCTGGCCTCTGGGGGTAATGAGGGGCAGGGGGGAGCACAAGCTGGACCCCCAAGACATGCCATTGGCCCAAACAGGTGGAAGGCAGGGGTCCAGGCATGCATTGGGCCTCCCTCAGGCTGCCTGTTTCCCTTGGTTCATTCCTACCTCCTAGGGCCGTGGTCGGCAAACTGCGGCTCGCAAGCCACAGGCGGCTCTTTGGCCCCTTGAGTGTGGCTCTTCCTAAGCCTTAGGAGTACCCTAGTTGAGTTAATAACAATGTACCTACCTATATAGTTTCAGTTTAAAAAATTTGGCTCTCAAAAGAAATTTTCAATCGTTGTACCGTTGATATTTGGCTCTGTTGACTAATGAGTTTGCCGACCACTGTCCTAGGGGGACAGGAGCAAACAGGTGCCTCTGAGTGTGTCCTGGGTAGCTTCGGGCACCTGTGCTTCTTCCTTGGGCCTTGTCCTCCCAGGTTGGACTCCACTCCCACCTTCAGCACTTGACACACACACCCCCACCCCACCCCCATTTTTCAGAGCAAGGTGAAGTACATCAAGCAGACCAGTGCCATCCTGCAGCAGAACTATGGTGGGGACATCCCAGCTTCTGTGGCAGAGCTGATGGCACTGCCAGGCGTTGGGCCCAAAATGGCGCACTTGGCCATGGCTGTGGCCTGGGGTACTGTGTCAGGCATTGGTGAGTGGCATGTGCCCATGAGGAGGGTGGGGCCAGCTCTGAGCTTGCTGACTGCTGCCAGGGTTCCCTACGTCCTCTGACCTGTAACCCCAATTCAGGTCTCCTCATCCACAGCTCAGCCCAAAGGGTCAGAAAGATACTCCCAGCACTGAGCTAGGCCTGTCCTGCCCTGAGATGAGTACTAATCCATTTGCTGAGCACCTACTGTGTGCTGGGCTCTGGGGATGGACTCGGTGTCGGTGGAAGTGATAACTCATCCAAGAACTGAAGGGTAAGGCGGGACCAAGAGGAGGAACAATGTTCCAGGCAGAAGAACAGCATCTGCAAAGCCATGAGGCGGGAGAGAGGACCAGAAGCAGGAGGCTCTGGATGAGTGTGGGCAGATGAGGGTGATGTTGTGAAGACAGGGGAACCCCGGGAGAGGAGGTATGGGCTGGGGGGATGGGGAGGAGAACTGGGAGTGGGGAGCCTCTTCCTGGAATCCCTTTCCTGGGTCCAGGCCTAGCAGCCTGGCATCGGAGGATCCCTGGGTGGAGACAGGTTCTGGGTCAGGGTGCAGCGGCTGCTTCCTAAGGTCTTTGCCCAGAGAGTTGGGGCTTCTGAGGCCCCAGCAGCAGCCCAGCCAGCCCAGAAACCAAGGCTTGACCCGTAAACACCCTGTACTCCCCAACCCCAGTGCCTCTCTGGGACTCCTGCAGGCGGGGCTGGGAAGGGGTGGGAATCCCCTCAGCTTCCACAGCTTGTGTAGCCCGCCCCCTGGGGTGGGGCCCTTTTCCAGCACTGCCCATGAGTAGAAAGGCAGCCCCGAGAGCCAGAACGGGGCCAAGAAGGGGCCAGGGCAGAGCCTCCCCCTAGGGCTCCTGAAGAGGCCAGCCTCTCAGCAAATACTCGGCTTATCGGGGCAGCTGTCAGCTGCTCTTTCCCGGGAGTGGCCTGGCAGGTCTGAGTGAAGGGCCCCCTGCCCACCGCCCTACCCGGGTGTCAGAATGTCACCCTTTCTGGTTGCCTGTGGGCCCGGTCAGCCGTAGGGAACCCCTGGGGAGGGGAGGCTTTGCCTCCCAGGGGCTTCCCCAAGAGAAACTCCCTCGTGAGAAAGCTGATCCCAGCTCTGCCTCCCCACCTGGGTGGCCTGGGGCAAGGCACTTGGCCTCTCTGAGCTTTGGCCACAAAGCAGGGGACACAGTTACCCTCCTGGCCCAGCCCACAGGAGGTTCACAGTGTGTGTGACCCTAGGTTGGGCCTCAGGGAGCACAGTCACCTCCATGTGACGGAAGAGGAAACTGAGGCAGGGGGATCCAAGGGTGCAGCCCTCTACCTGGGCTTGTTAGCAGCAGGAGAGAAAGCGGATGCAGGGACTGGCTTTCTCTTTGACAGTGAGGAGGAGAGGGATTGCAGATAGCTGGGCAAGGAGGCCTGGGTGACTGGGTGCCCAGGCTGGGCCCTGGGGTGGCTGTAAAGGGGAGCAGGGGCTGCAGCTGGCCTGGCTGTGCTGCCCACTCTGTTCCTTACAAGTGCTGGCTCTGCAGGCAACAGCCTCCTGCTGGCACCCTCAGCCCGTGGCTGGGCCAAGAGGCACTGCTCCCTGCACCCCAAGTGAGGGCCCAAGTCCTCTGGTTCCTGGCTACAGCCCCTGCCCAGCAGTAGTGGTGGCCTGGTGACCCACTCTCATGTCTGGCTAGTACGGTGCAGTTAGGGGCCCTCAGAGCTCTGTGTGGGAAGCCAGGGCGACTCACCAACCTGGGCTAATGGGTGGGACCATGGGCAAGAACGGGGTGTCTGGGCCTGCCCCACATTCACCCCACCCTGTCTCCAAGCAGCAGTGGACACACATGTGCACAGAATTGCCAACCGACTCAGGTGGACCAAGAAGGTGACCAAGTCCCCGGAGGAGACCCGTGCAGCCCTGGAGGACTGGCTGCCCAGGTGCCGCAACAGGGCAGGATGGGCTCCCCTTCCACCTCCCCTCCTTCCCTCTCTCTCTCTGCATTAACCCACTCCCACCCCACAGGGACCTGTGGAGTGAGATTAATGGACTCTTGGTGGGCTTCGGCCAGCAGATCTGTCTGCCTGTCCGCCCTCGATGCCAGACCTGCCTCAACCAGGCCCTGTGCCCAGCTGCAGAGGGACTCTGAAGACCCTGTGCCCAGCTGCACAGGGACCCTGAAGGCCCTGTGCCCAGCTGCATGGGATGCTGAAGGCTCTGTGCCCAGCTGCACGGGACTCTGAAGGCCATGTCTTCTGCGACTTTGTTGGGGAGCTGCAGCCTGTTCATAATAAAGTTTGGGGTTTTGCAACAGTTGGGATCTGTCTGATTTCTACCCTTGGGAGGCCAGCATGTGGACGTGACAATCTGGGCTGTGTACGTGGGGGGTGGGTGCAGGAGCCCAGACTGAAGAGATGGATCATGGGAGCCAGCTGGAGCCAGCTGTTGAGAAGCCTGCTGGTGACGATGGAGGCCTGGGCTTCCTCCCTCCCTCAGCAGCTGGCTGAGGGCCCAGAAACACCCCTCTCCTGAACTTGTGCACCCTGAGAGCCTGCCACTGCCAGGAGGCCCTACCCCCAGTGCTTACAGAGCCACCTGGCCTCCAGAAGAACACCAGGAAGCCCAGGCTGGGTGCCACAGGGCCCGAGGCCTGACCTTTGTACCTGCTGGGGGGTGGGGGGCTATATGAAGGCAGGGGGTGCCCATGGGGTGCCAGGGGCACAGGAAGCTTCACAGAGAGGTGTTGGCAAGACAGCTGGGCCTCACCAGGCAGAGAAGGTGAGCAGGGGCCTCGGTGAGAGGAGGGCAGGGCTCCAAGGGCAGGGATCCCAAGTAGTCTGGAGAGGGCAGGCGGAGAGGGAAGCAGGAGCTGAGAAGTGTTGGGACTTGGCTGCCAGGTGGATGGTTTCAGGGAGGGGGAGGTTTAAGAACGAGACCTGCTGCCCTGGCTGGTTGCTCAGTGGTTAAAGCGGCAGCCCGCAGACCAACAGGTTGTGGGTTCGATTCCCGGTCAAGGCCACGTACCTCCGTTGCAGGTTCCCCAGCCCGGTAGGGGCCTGTGCAGGAGGCAACCAATGGATGTGTCTCTCTCCCCATCCTCCCTCCCTTCTACTCTAGAAGTCAATGGAAAAAATATCCTCGGGTAAGGATTAAAAACAAATAAAAATTTAAAAAAAGAGTAAGACCTGTTTCCAGCAGCTGAGATTTGGGGATGGGGCTGCTAGGCTGCTACCTTCCGGCCTGGACCACCATTCCCCCATCCCCTGAGGAAGGACAGAGGCAGCCAAGGGTGTGAGGACGGCCTGTTTATTCCAAAGGGGCGCAGATGCGCTATGGCTTACAGGGCAGCCGGCAATGTCGGTGGGTTTCAGGGCAGAGTCTGTGGGGTCTACTGGGGGAGGGCGCCAGGCAGGGGCCAGGCCCAAAGCCTGGAGGCACTCCTGGGGCAGGCTCTCTCACAGCCACACCCCCCAACCCGGGGGCTGCAGCAAAGGAACAAGGGGCCTGTCCAGAGGCTGCCCTCTTCAGGGGCAGGGGCCTCCATCCTCCGGCCCCTCCGAGAGCCCAGACCCTGCATCCCAGACCCCTGGTGCAGTGGGGACATGGGGGGCCTGGCCCAGTGAGCCCCCACACCAGGGAAGGCAACGACAAGGCTGAGGGGAAGCTCCTGTAGCCACATCTGGCCTCCCAGCCTCACCTGAAGCCCCTCAAATCGCCTGCCCACTGCCTCTGTCCCAGGCAGTTCCTGGGACTCCCACCGGCATGGCTGCTGCCAAGAAGGAAGGGGTGGGGAGGAAATGGTTTGTAGAGAAAGGTTTGTTTTATTGCAATTATTTAGAGAACATGTCCTGGTGGGGGCGGGGCTCTGGTATTAAGTGAAAACATGTGTGGAGCTGGAGCTCTTTTTGGAAAAAAAAAAAAAAAAAGCAAAACCACAAATTCCTTCAAGTCAGCAGGCCCAGGCAGAGCAGCAAAGGCCCGGCCCCTAGGGTCACCGCTGCCTCTCCCTCTCTCAATGTCTCTCACACATTGGGGGCTCCCTCTCCCCAGTGTTGCTGCCACGTTCCCCCAGCACCCACGGGAACGGTAGGGGGATCAGGACAGGGACTCACTGGGATGTGGGTTGGTTCCTGGGTGGTGATGGGGCCACCACGGCTCCTGGGGGTGAGGATGCACCTCCTCCAGTCCACTGAGGCTTGGGGAGCTCTGGTCTGGGCCCGAGGAGGGAGGCCCAAAGTCCGTGCGGGGAGAAGGCCCGGGTCCAGCACACAGGCAGCGAGGGGTTCAGAAGTTGCTGAAGATCTCACGCTTCTGGTTCCAGTCCATCTGCGGGGCCCGCTTGTTGACCCTGGTGGCTTTTGCCTTCTCCTTGGCCTCAGCCGCCGTGGGGCTCAGGTGGAGGCCACTCTCCTGAAAAGGGTCGTGCTTCCAGGTGCTGCGGTCCTGGGGGCGGACAGGTAGCCAGAGTGAGCCCTGGACCCAAGCCCCCAAACTGATAAATCACCCTTTCCAGGGAGCTCACACCGGAGGCCACCTGGTGGGGCTGAGGTAGCGAGCCCAGGAGGGCTTCCTGGAGGCAGTGGCCCCACTGCCCAGGTTGAAAGCTCCATAAATACCCACCCCAAAGGCCTCTCTGGCCCCCCACCAGAGTGTAAGCGCAGCAGAGGAAGTGGATGGACATTTGCTACCTCATTGTCCTTGTCTAAGCCAGGCAGATCACTTCGGGATGAACACGCTGAGCCACCATTGAGCTGGGAAACCAAGGGCAAGGTGTAGTAGCTTCAGAGGCCCTGCCCTGTCCTGTCACTATGTTCACACACGCACATACACGTACACCCGCACACACAGAGCTGCATTTATTCCTCCATTCGGCAGTGGGACCCTCTACCATGCTCCAGGCCCAGTGTAGGTAGGACACTGGACACTAAACAGTGAACAGGCAGGTGGCCCGGCCCTGGCCAATCCACAATGGGGAGGAGCCATTTCGATGCATGAATCACCCACATGCGTGTCACCTGGGGCAAAGCCAGGGCCAGCTTCCTGAGGAGAGACGGACACTCCAGGTAACCAGACAGTGCTGGGCAGAGGGAACAGCCAGGG